ATGAAATTTGAGGTAAGGCGGGTCAGCTCGAAGAGCACAAAGTTCACTAGACCGCCTCGCAGATGTGATGGCAATCAAAAAGGCTGTCTTCCAGGAAAGACACGACAGGCTTGTCGACGCTAGGGGCTCAAACGGGGCTCTCGTCAAGGCATTGAGTATTAGTTCCAAACTCCAAGAAGGGACAACCGGAGATGCTGGGGGTCTGGTGTTCTTCAAACCCCGCAAAAATGACTTAACAACCGGGTTCAGAAAACAGGAGGGAAGGCCCACTTTCTGACGAAACCAGGAAATGGAGGCCAGATAACATTTCAACGATGGAAACGATAAACCCGCGTCCAACAATGACGCCAGAAAATCTAAAACTACAGAGATGGGGGCCGAGTCAGGGAGCGTCCCTCGCTCCCTAGCAAAAGAGGAAAAACGCGCCCATTTGTAGACATAAGATCGTCTTGTCGATGGTCTATGCGCTGCCTCAATGATTCGGAGCACAGGGTGAGACAAGCCCGACAGGGGGTCTACAGAGATGGAAGGATTCGCCACGCCGTCAGTCTCAGTCTGCGTACTTCTGGGTACAAGACCTGTCCTCCCTGTGACGTCAAGAGGTCCTCCCTGGGCGGAAGGGGGATGAAGATTCCCCCCGCTAATAGCCGCAGTGGGGAGAACCACGGCTGTCTCGGCCACCACGGTGTTATTAGTATACAATGGGCATTGTCTCTTTGGATCTTCGCAACGACCCGTAACAGAAGGGGGAAGGGAGGAAAAGCGTAGGTCCTCCGGCCCGTCCATACGAGCGTGAAGGCGTCCCCCAGACACCTGCCCTGGGCCCCGGCCTTCGTCCGTGCACAATAATGGTGGCATTTGGAATTTAACTGTGTGGCGAACAGGTCCAGGTCTGGTGTGCCCCATGCTCGGAAGAGCCTCCGAACCTCCTCCACATTCAGGGACCATTCGTGATTCGCCAGGGGATTCCGACTCAGGGAGTCTGCCAACAGGTTCTGCTCCCCCGGCACGTGCGTCACAAGGAGATGAATCCCTCTTTCTATACACCACTCCCAGATTTGTGTGGCAAGGTCCAGGAGCGTCCGTGAGCGGGTGCCACCCTGCTTGTTCAGGTAGTACATCACCGTGGTGTTGTCGGTGAGAATGTGTACTACCTGACCCGTG